ATCCAATCTAGCAATGCCCTTGCTGGTTAGCAGACATTCTGGGAAACTTATACAAATGGCATCAGCCATCACTCTCAGTTTTCCACCAGCTGCCTTTGGCCCTGAAGAAAAAAGCAGAAAGCTCTTACAGCTGATTATCATCGATATAATTATTTTCCAATGCAAGCGTTTAGATTCAAGGAGGAAATTCTTTTTAATTTTGGGGTGCAATGTAACATAACTCTTGTTGGGATATGATTTTCAGTAACTTCAGTTATATTCTTTATTCATAATTGAATTAAAGTTTATCATACAATGTGTGACAAAATAATTTAGCCAATTTTAATCTGCCAAATTAATGTAATACATGAGCTGTGTTGAGAACTGAGGTGTTTCCCCCCCCCCCAAGAATTCTGCAAATTTCAGAAATAAATGGGTAGATACCTTTAAAGTTATTTTATCTTCCCTACATTTTCACATCCATATCAAGTTGGGGTAGGGGGGAGAGAAAGGAAAGGAAACTAGCTGATAAAAGGAAAGGTACATAGGCTACTACTAAAGTGTTTGTCACCCTCTGTAATGTGCTTGGTGTATCCTGCCAACAGAAATGGTAGGAAGGTTTTTCCTTACATATGCATTTTTTCTAACAAACTAATCAAAGAAATAATCAGCACAGAAACTATTTCAACAGGTATTCTTTTCTGATGTGTGTGTGTGTTAGGGCCACTGCATCTGGGCTGCCAAAAAAAATTGGACGACCACTAGATGGACACAAAGAAATACTGATTATTAGAAGGGTTTTTGTTTTGTTTTATTCTGCTCTACTTGTCACCTTATAGCCCAGATATGATAGCTTTAATGCATACAAACACCATGATTCTCCTGAACATTTTATGGGCCTATAATTAGTCCCACAACAATATATAATCTTTATTCCTTGTTGACTTACAAAAGATTGTTGCATTATTCAATTGCAATCTGTTGTTAAATATTAGAAATATTTGGAGCTGAGTTGAAGAGACATTTTAGAACATTTAGACATTTTAGTCTGCTGAGAGTAGCTGTGCGTGCACCAGCAATAGCAGGAACCAGAATTGGTATTGTGTAAGGATGGGAGAACTGGAGAAAGGATAAGATCATTCTTGTAAGACTGTTTATAGCACTTGGTTTAGTGATAAGTAGGAACAGACCAGTCAGATGAAAAATTCGAGGATACAATAACAGATTAAGCCCAAATAAATTACATTAGATCTTTTTGATTGCTGTGTGAACCATATAAATTTATTAAATAAAATAAAGCTTTGTAAAAATAAGAATCGTGACTTAATGTAGTATTTCTTAAAAATTTCAAGACTAAACAATGCTAATTTTTTACATTTTGTAAAAAAAAATACTAAGGAGCTTATATGACTGTTTTTTTAAAGGAAATACAAGAATTATTGAAATAAAACCTCTTCAAATAATATTTAAAATGTATTTTCCTTTACATTTAATATATTAATTAGAAATCTTAATGGGATGCATGAACTAGAATATGATTATTTCAAAATTTTAGCAGTGCCATTGTTAAATAAACGTAGGCTTCGTGTTACACTCTGTTTCAGTATGGGTCCTTTTGGTTGCAGAAACTTTGTCAACCCTACTTATAATCCATTTTTCACAAAAAGATTCTGAAGAAAATAGTAAAGCCTAAAGTGACTCTGAAGTTGCTTGAATGTTGGTTGTTGTGAATCAATAAAAGTGAATAACCTAAATGCAAATTAGGGGTTGAAAACCTGCACACTTGATTGGTCCTTATACAACAACTTGGGATTGGGCCAGAACCAGTCCCTGATTGGTCACTTTTGGGACTGTCCTTATTGGTCAGTAGTTGGAACCTGTTGCACATTTTCATTGGTTAATAAGGCAGCAGCTAACCCTATAAAAGGGTTACTGCTGCCCATAGCATTGCTCTGTTCCATTCTGATTCCTGTTATTATTAAAGAGTTGAAGTCACTGGTCAGATGTCTGGTCTCCTTATTCTCCAAACTTAACATTGGTGTTCCTTAAAATTTAGTTTAGCTTAAAATTAGTTTAGTGTGTTGTACAGACCCAGTCAATTGTAGCATATCTGATAAGCTTTTGTTAAACAAACCATGGTTTAGCATATATGAATCTAGTTTGTGACCTGGCTTACTTTTCAAAAATGGTTCATTAGTATGCTCTGTTCTCTGCCATATTTTAACATGTTCAAACATTTGCTGCCTTGTTTTGTAGCCCTAATGGATAATCAGACATAGCCTCTTTTTTCATGGTGTGTATTCACTAAAGTAATATATCAGAAACAAAAATGCACTATGTAGTTGGCTTATATTTGTCTTGCAAATCACCACAACCACCTTGTAGATCCAGTCTTACTGGATAAACACTTTATTCTTTCAGAATCATCTGATACCATGTGTTAACGTTATGGAAGAATAGGTTGTAAAAACAACGAGTCCAAAATACCATATTGAATACTTCATTGAGCAAATTGGAAAAGCTTTCAGTTACTCAATCCTAACTAGGATTTATGCAATTGACTAGAAAGTTATTATTTTTTGCATCCCTTTGTAGTGCCTAAAGATCATTTTTCAGTTCTTTTGTTTAGATTTTGTTTTGATCCCTATATATCTGAATTCACAGTTATTTCCAAGTTCATCATGCCACAAGCTTCCCATTCCATGACCATAAGCCAACCAGTCTTGCAGAATGAAAATTGCGTCATTCTTGATAACAGAAGCAAATAATTGATCTCAAAAGGAAAATAATGGAAGTAGGGCAGACTGTGACAATTACATTTGAGCTGGTAGTGGAGAAAATCTAAAGGTAGAATAATTGCTTTTTCTAAATAGTGTACAGTTTCTGGTGGCAGAACAGAAAGGAAGATATAATTCTTCTTGCCTTTCCATTTGTTTGCTTGTTTTGGGCCGTGCAAGCAAATTAATATATGTATTAGAATAAATGTTTCATTTCATTGATACAAACTACAAGTAACACCACTGAACACTTTAATAAAATTGGAATTCAATAATTTAATACTCTTTACCAAGAGGTGAATATCTGCAAAAGTTCCAAAACATCCATTTCAAGTACTGCATTTTCAGTTCTATTCCCATCCCAGTGAGATGGGAATAAAACATTGGTAGATATTGTCTAGCCTAATTTTTAAGAGCTTTTTGCTAAAAAAAAAAAAAAAAGATACCAAATTAGATCACTAGTTTTGTGTAAGCGTAGGCCAGTAGTGAGATCCTACGTTAGTTGCTACCAGTTCGGTGGGTGATTGTGTGTGCACGCTCACACCCCTAACAAGCCAATCAGCTGAGAGGATGAAGAAAATCTAGGAGCGACCCTCCCACCCACCCCCATGTGATTTTTGGTCTTTTATCCTCTCAGCTCATTGTCTTTAATTCCCTCAGCTGATCAAGCCTTTTTTTTTAAACTATAGGTTGGGTGAACCAGTCCAAACTGGCAGCATACCACCACTGGTGTAGGCCATTGCTCTATTCTCTGCCTTACTCTTAAAACTGGAGATAAATGGAACAGAAAAGATATTTAGGATTTTTAGTGTCATTCTAATCTCTTGTTTGTAAGAAAATCAAAGTTGTGTCATTGGATTATAATAGAATTGGAAAGGACCTAGAAGCCTGCTGCTGAGGCAGGAGACCCTATGCCATTTCAGACAAATGCCCGTCTAGTCTCTTCTTTAAAATCTCCAGTGTTGGAGCACCCACAACTTTGGGAGGCAAGTTGTTCCACTGACTAATTGTTCTGTCAGGAAATTTCTCCTTAGTTCTAGGTTGATTCACTCCTTGATTAATTTCTATCCATGGCTTCTTGTCCTGCCCTCAGGTGCTTTGGAAAATAGGTTACTGAGTTACCTTCTTTTTGAACCCATAGGCTGCTTTTAAAACTATTTCCTTTCCCCACATAATTCAATTTTAGAACAGGTTCTATTTGTGCATTGTGGATTGATGTCATAATTGTGCTTTTAGTACAGAGCTTGCTATCTTCACCCCTTGTGCTAACAAAACTGCATGCCAATATAAACGAAACTGATCAAAGAAAATCATACTTGTGGTTGTAGTAGTACTGATCTTCTGAATTTCACCCTTCCACAGAGCTTCATTTAAAATTCTTTCAGGATGTTAAAAATGGAACTAAATGTTATTGGTCCACAGGCGGAAATTGGTAGTAAATTTTGTTTAGACTGTTATTGCTTCACGGTACAAGTAAATCTAGCAACTTGGATGAGGCTAAGCTATAACCCGGCACAATTTTTCCCCTTCCACATGGAGTCTGCTTAAAGGAAATCTATTTTAAAAAATGGAAGCCCCTTCAATGATTTTTGAACATCTGGCAAATACTGCCTGACCAATTCATAAGTGCATGTTCCTGTTGTAATAATTTTCAGAACTGATAAGAATAAACAGCATGCCATTAAGTCAAATGGTTTAGATTGTCAGTAATAATTAGGATTATATTCCATATTGTGGTTTCTGGGCCTTTGCTCTACCTTCAGTCTCTGCCCTAAATGCGTTACGTATAACTTGTCATTTACTGGAGACCTTTGGGAAAAAATAGTAGCTGAGGGCAAACTACACAATGATTTTCAGTAGGCTACATCTTTCAAATTTAATATCAATTTATACAGAATCTGTGGAAACCTATTTATTTTATTTATTTATTATTAAACTTCTATGCCATGCATCTCGCTGAGGTGAGTCAAGGTGGCTCACAGTCATATAATTAAGATACTATATAAAGCATTAAAACAAATAAGAATCATACATTTAAAATCACTTAAAATTTCAATTAACCAAGATGGAGAGGAAGGGAGCAAAGTGGACATGGGGAAGCAGTAGATCTGCAAAGTCTTTCTGCAAAGCTTACAGATAATATTTATCTGTAATTTATCCAAATATCATGGACATAGATTACAGCTACATTATTATGTTAATTCCTGGTATATCAATGATCAAACCTTATCCTTCTCTTTTCAGGCTATGGCAACTTGAGTCCCAATACGGTGGTTTCACAAGTGTTCTGCATCTTCTTTGCCCTCTTTGGGATTCCCTTAAACCTCATTCTTCTGAATAGGATAGGACAGCTGATGCTCTCTGGGGTGCATCTATGTGCCTTCTATATGGGTGTGAAATTCCAGTGGCAGGTAAGAGATCTAGGTATTCTTACTTATTTGTTTATTTAATCTAAGCCACCCATTTCACAAGCAAGTAATTCTGAGCATTGTACAACAAGGTTAAAATAATAAATTCTTATGAGTCACTTTGGCCAGCATGGACAATTTACTCATGGCATTTTCTAAAAAAGCAAGAATGTCAACGAAAATGCCATTGACTTAACTGGTTTAGCTTAAATTTGTTGTAGCCAGAGCTATGGCGTAGCAACAAAAGCTATCTAGATAATCATATCATTCTGTTGTATTGTTCCTCTTGATAAAGCTTTCAAACTTCAGATGTAAATCTTGACTTGTCTTCATGTTTAAGTGGCCTATTTCAATGTGTTTACTTGAAACAAATTTCTATTGAATTAAATTAGGCTGACTTATCTCTCTCTATATATTTATTTAGGTTTATAGACCTAGCAAGCCCCAGGGAGTTGCTGGGTCTGCAATCCTACACAGCAGGAAGACCATAACAAACTTTGTGTAAGAGAGATGAATAAGCACAATAAGCGCACACTTTAAAAAAGCGTTTTAAGCCTTGGGAGTACATTTTTTAAAGGAAGAATAAGAAGAGACTTTGTAGACTGTTTCCACAATAACCAGTTGCATGCCTCTAGGGCGTTCATAACAAGGGCATGAGGGTGAAAGTATCCTTTAACTCCTGTTTCGCTAGCTAGCAGAGTGGAACAGAGATGGAAAAAGATTTTTCTTTCCAGATACTTTGGAACATTTTGGAGCTGCTGTTAAATTGTAGTGGTTAACCATTATGCAAAACTTGTCAGTTTTGTGCAGAAATGTCTCCCATCTTAAAAGTAAAACACATTTGGTGAGGCAAAAAAATATAGTACAAGCATTTGGCTGTAATTTCACTAACAAGTCAATATTAAAAAGCAGGTTTTGCTTTCGGTTTTATGTCTTCTGTCAGCAAAACGTTGGTTCGTCATCACTTGCCTTCCCCCTTCTATGTTTTGTCTGGACAAGCCTTACACTCCTCGGGTTATCTACTGCTATCTCTAGCTTCAAGTATCCAGAAAATATGACGCACATGCACAATCCTGTTCCCTCCCTGAATATAGCAATGGTAAAATAGCATTTTTAGTATTGTTGAAAAATTGTGCAACTCTAGGCCTTGCTTGGGCCTGACTACTGCATTAACATCAGCTTCCACAGAGACATAGCAGATACAGCCCAATTTCAAGCTTTTTCTCTGTACCAATGACTGCCTCTAGGTGTGAATCATAATTCTGAACTTTAACATTTACATATGCTTACTGAAAATGTATTAAGTTAATGGAAAACATGTTTTGGACAAGGATTTTTTCTTTCCAACTTACAAATGTGTAGACATTTGTAAGCTCAGAAAAATTCCAGAAGGAATTTTTATCTTGATGGAAAAGAAATGGACAATCTGTACATATCCATTTTTGATGCTAAATGTGGTTTTGCTAATGCAAGTAGAAGCAAGAGAAGTTTAAACATTTCTGCTCTAAAACTGGTAGTGGTGTTTCATTTGTGAGAATTTTCTTTCAAAGCATTTTTGTGGTCCTATCTTATTAGATCACCTTCTTTTAAACTTAGCTTAAGCAGCTTTCAATTTCCCTGGAAAAACTCTGAGGAGGAGAAGAATATTCAACTTCTTGTCTGTAAAATTGAGGTTGAGTCAAAGACTGATCAAATCCAAACCTAGAGAATTTGAAGGGATCAAAGGGCTTCTTTTAAATCCAGAGAATGCATCACGAGCCCTTCTCCATACGTTACACAAATAGTCCCAGCAATCATGGAAATACAGGCAAAAGGTTGCTCTGCTGACACAAGAGAACATGGCTTTATGAAGAAGGCTGAATGTTAACATCTTCACATGACAGGTTTTAGAATGGGCCTTCCCAAATGCTCTGATGTTTTTAGCAGAAAGATGCTCAGACCTAAAAAGTCCAGCCTTTTTGCAACTATTTGTCATTATAGTCATTACAATTTTTGTAGCCCTAGTTAGGCTAAACATTAGATACTCTGAAAATCTGATTGAGTCTTGAGTTCATACCAGATCTAAAGTCAAGATCCAGAGTCCCCCAATAAGTCTAAATATATAAAATAAGCAACGAAAGTTAAGGCAATTGGCCTCTTCCTGCTCTTTCCCATGGATTCATGATCTTTCACAATGTGTGAAATTGAAATCTATGGACTAATATTGGTTTACTCAGCAGATTCAAATTAAAGTCTAGTGTTTGCATGAATAAACCAATATCAACCACTTTCCTGTTTGGGCCAGCATGTGAAACTGATTTTACAAGCCTAGGGAAACTGAACTGCCAGGATAAAAATATATCAGTACTGTACTTAATTCAGATCTCCATTTTAGCTGATCTAAATAATCATCTAGGAAATTGGAATGTTGCGTCAAAAAAAGATCAGTAAGTTCAGGTGGTACACATTGAACTTGAATCAAAATGTTCTTTGGCCCATGTTGAATGGGCTAAACACAGTATTATGCAAGGACTTTAATGCAATGAGCCTTTCTCCTCCAAATGTCTCCCAAATCTGTTCAGGAAAATTTTCCCTGGAAGAGGGAATATTTCAGCACTATACTGGGTGATCAAAGAAGAATGAATCTCTCCTGAATAATATTTCTCTGTCATCAGAAGGCAGATTTTTCTCTTGACCTCTTCAGAAATTTAATAGGATTACATACCTGTGCTGCACATTCTCCCAGTATCTTTTTTAATGAAAGTTGTAATCTAGATCCTGCTTCTTGTCTGATCTAACCTATATTTTCTGTTTCTTTATTGCTTGCTAGAGGGGAGCAGTTGTCTTGACCTGGACCTGTGCCCTGGGTACTGGCCTTTTATTATTTCTTTTGCTACCACCTTTGTTGTTTACTGCCATAGAAGGCTGGACTTATGAAGAAGGATTCTACTATTCCTTCATAACTTTAAGTACAATAGGCTTTGGAGATTATGTCATTGGTAAGTATCATATACCTGTTAAAACTTTATTTGTTTGAGGGGTGGAGTAGGGGGTAGATTTACAAGTTCCCTAGTAGCTCAAAGGAAAACATACTCATGGACAAAACATGCCTTCTCAAGTTTAAGTTCAGTAAATAAAATCACAGTTCATTCTATTTTAAGGCTGAAGTGCAAACATTTGCTGCTTTTCCAATGGAAAGGTATGTTGTTCTTGAATGGGAAATTCTCAAGCAAAGGATCCTTTATGTGCTTGTTTATACAGTTCACTTAGGAGATCATGTTTTTCATTTTTCCAGATAAGTTGCTTGGTGGAGGTACCCTTCCTTTTTGAGTGAAGTTCTTAATTCTCTGGTCAGTTGTGGGAAAACAAGTGCCTTCTTCATGCAACAGGAAATAAATGTGTTTTTTTTAAAAAAAAATATCTGATATTTGAGGTGTTTTACATTGATTCAATATGGGATGCATTTATGTTGATAGCAAAGCAGCTTGGTTTAATGGATGCTTAAGTTGGAAGATATGCATAAAATTCTAGAATGAGGACTTGGTTGGTAGCCATTTTAATTCCAATCTAATAGCAACTGTGCAACAAAAACTGATATAGATAGTTGCACCCTCAGGAAACAAGTAAAACATAGTAAGCACTGCATGAAAATCTCATTTATCAGACTCTTCTAAAAAGCACTTTCAACTTTTACTCTCATTTTCACAACTGTGTGGAAGAAAAATAATCTTAAATTGGAATTATGTAGGCTGGAACATGATTGATCTGCAATGATAAGGTCACCAGGAACTTACTTCAGCAGTGTTCCTTACTTTCTCCAAGTTATTTAAATGGTTGTAATCTTGTTTCTGGAGAAGGGATGTGAGAAGAGTCATTCTTTGTACTAAACCATTATATTATTAACGATGACTTGTCATTAAGCTACAAATGGCACTGATTACCTGTTCTGTATTATAAACTATGTTTTGTAAAGCACAGTAGCTAGATTCACTGCATACTAAACCAGAACCAAATAAATCACATGATGACAATGTAAAATGTAAATGTAGTCACTATTGTAGTAAAAAAAAAAAAAAAACAACGTATGCTGCCCAACTCTCAATCACTCTGGATGGTTATTATGATGACAGCAAGAATATATTTTTGCAATAGTGGCAAATATCTGTAGCTTGGGTGCAGGATGAGGATGGAGGTTTGTTCTCCCAAACTTGTGGGTTAGTTTCCAAATACTTCATTATCAGGCTAGTTCAGTGGTGGCTAACCTTTTTGGGCTCCTGTGCCAAAAATTGTGTTTGCGTTTGCATGCTTGCACTCACGTGCCAGCACCCAGAAGGCAATGTGTGCCCTCCCACACCCCCTAAGCATGAGCGCACAATCCCACCCACCCACCGCACCCCCGCCACCCCCTTACCTGCACTACACCTCACAGCTGATTTTCGGCTGGTTTGAGGCCTTGAGGAAGACTTCTGCAGGCTCCTACAAGTTTTGTAGGCTGAAATCTAGCCCCGTTTCATCACTTCCTGTTTTTCCAAAAATACCGTAAGTGACGAAACGGGCCTAGATTTAATCCTACAAAGCTTGTAGAAGCCTGCAGAAGCTTTCCTCAAGCCTTTGGGAGGACAAAAAAGGCCTCAAACCGGATGAAAATCAGCTGTGAGGCGCGCACATGCACAGTGAGGTAAGTTTGCCAGCAGCACACGTGCTGGCACAAATGGCTCTGCATGCCACCTGTGGCACATAGGTTCACCATCACAGGGCTAGGTAACATGTTCAGTGGAGTTTAGGAGATGTCAGGGTCAGTATAAGGGCTTCAGGTGTGGGGTTCAGAGGCTGGTTGTCCCCCCTGTTCAGAATCCAAATCAAGCCAACCAGAGACAACACCAACTCTCAACCAACCCACGCAACCCCCACCACCAGCAGTTCACCTCCCAATGATCCTGACCCGATGGAATCTCCTTATCACAAGTCTCACTGATGACTCACAGCTGACCCATCACAAGACCTGTCAAAGCTCTTCACTTGACACACCCACACCTGAAGCCCTTATAAACAGAAGAACACCAACACCTCCTAAACTCTGCTGAAGGTGTTACCTGGCCTGGTAATGAAACATTTGGAAACTAACCCATAAGCTCAGAGAATGAACTCTCAGCAAAAATGTATCCCTAGTCATGGTACTATCTTCCCTTCCCCCCAAAGAGAGAGAGCATTAGGAGAAAAGGAGAGAATGCATCAGTGGTGGGATTCCATTTTTTTTACTACCAGTTCTGTGGGTGTGGCTTGGTGGGCATAGCAGAGGAAGGATACTGTAAAATCTCCAGTCTGAGGTGGTATTTGCCGGTTCTCTGAACTACTCAAAATTTCTGCTACCGGTTCTCCAGAACTGGTCAGAACCTGCTGAATACCACCTCTGGAATGCATGTTTTTTATCTAGAACATATGAGGATGTATTGGATCTCCTGTGGAAGTCAGGAAAGCCTGAAATATAACCATCCATTTAATGTGTGAATGAGCTGCAGAAATAACCTTGAGGAAGAAGAGAAGCAACAGCCAAGACAAAACTGAGTCCAAAGTAGGAATGGAATGTGTGAAAGCATTTTAGATTGGACTTTCCTATATTCTCTTTACAATAAATGCAGGGAGGGGGAGGCATATTCAGAGTTTCAAGATTCTGTTACTGTAAGGCTTTAATAAAATTAGTTTCAAGATTTTGGTGTTCAAGTCTGCTGTACCTTGCAGAGCTAACACAATGGGATGCCTGTTACTTATTTTAATACTAATGTGTACAAAAATTTGAACCAGCAGCAATACTTTTCAGCTGCAGTTTTTTCAGGGTTTATTTTGTATTCACAAGACAACTTATTCTTTGGCTTGGTTGCCTGAGACAACTGCAGCTGAGGTGGTGACCTGTCCACTCTTGAGTTTTCCATAGCTTAAGCACATGCATGCAACTTTCATTTTCTTGTTATCCAAGAATCTTTGAAATTGCACTCTATGCTTCTTTCTGTCTCTGTTAAGACTGACATGCTTCTTCCTTGCAGGCATGAACCCTACGCGTACTTACCCAGGCTGGTATAAGAATGTGGTATCTCTATGGATCCTCTTTGGGTTGGCCTGGTTAGCCCTGGTCATTAATCTCTGCATCAGCTTAGTAGAAAATTCTAGAAGACTTTGCCAATGCTGTAAGAGAAAAAGTCACAACATAGGACACGAGTTAATGAATGGCAACTCAAACATTAATTTGGACCCAGGAGATCAGCAGAAATGTGGCATGAAAGACATAAAACCTGTGAGGCTGGACTGAATTTGGAATCTGCATTCTTTTACATATTTTTCTATTGAAGAAGGGAAGCATCCGCAGGCATTGGTAAATGTTTTGCTTTGCCACTAGCAGACGTTTTGCTACCTGGGAGGTCATCTAAATGGAATTGACTTGATACTTGGATGACATTGGATATATACATGGATTTCCTTGAAATGGTCTAGAACTGCTTTTTCATGTGATACCTTTTCAGTATGGGAATAAATTGCTTTTTAAAAACAGTGAAAGAATACATGTAACAGAATAAACTCTATTGTGAGCATCTGAGTTGAGAATCCGAGACCATCACAGCCCCACTGATGTATGTGTAGTTGCTGTATGCATGCAATAGTCTTCCACTCCTAAGGACCTCCATGTTTACTGGAAATTAGTAAAGACAAATACTTGTGAAAGGCATTAGCTTATAGAAGATGAATTACAATATTCTGTCCATTACCACTTCAGCAGCTCAAAAATCAAGATTATTTCTCTACAGGATAGAAATCAGTACTAACAAAGTAGGGAAAGTATGCAGAAGATAGCTTCTGGAATTCCTCCAGATCTCTTTATAGGATATCTCTGCATTTTCTGTGTAACAAAATTAATACACTGCATCTGTGTCCATTTATATTTAATGTTCTGGAAAGCACAAGGTGAATTATCTGGGTCATGTCACATGGCTTAGAATGGAGGATACCGCAGGATTCTGAGTTATTGACCAATAAATGTTTAGGGATCACTTTGAGGAATTTCTTCTGCATTTTGTTTTTCATTCTGGATGATTTGGTCCATTTTTAGCCCTGAATTTCTTTTGCCAGTTTTTCCTGCTCCTCTCTGGTCCCATTTTGTTCAGGTTTTGGAGCATTATTCTTCTGATAAACAGAAAACCAGGCAGACGTAGTATTAAGCCCTAGGAGATAATATATTTCCAACATTCCATAAGGTTGAAAAGAACAGAAGAACTACCTGTATTGTCACTTGTTATATATGGGGGGGAGTTAATTGTATAATTGTATTATGTTCTAACTTTGTACAGATGCCACTCTTTTGTTTAATATATCATGCTTATGCTTTCCCATGGAATCCCTATGAGGGACATGATATAAACCATTTTTTAAAAAATAATTGTGATGGTAAATAAGATAGCCTTGTTGTTTATTAGGCATATTGTCCATATTTTCTTTAAAATGAAAACATGGAGGGTATGTGCTCAAGTAGAGATATAGATTAATACCTTTCACAATGAGGAGGCAGAACCCAGCTGGAGTCCCTTCCTGTAGCCCTGATAAAGGGAATTAATAGGGATATGTTCCATGAATGTCCCTGGTGTACTTTAAACCAATTCCAGCTGATTGCCATCCCAGCATTTTGTGAGGTATAAATTAGTTCCACCCAACTTCTTTTCTACACACACACTGGTGAAGGTTCTTCCATGGTGATAATTTTTGAATATCTGGAACATCCACAATCTATGCCATTTAAGTCAGTCTTGTTCAATTTGGCATTCTTCAGTATCGATTCCAGATAGGAACTCTGAAAGTTGCAGTTCCAACATGCTTGAAGGAAACTAGATGGTGGAGGACAAGTTTCTCACCTTATATTTTATACCATTATAACTTGACACTTGATGGTTCTGCGATGCTCTGTCTTTGTAGCTGGATAATGTAGCCATAGGAGAAGTTTATCACTTTGATTAAAAAAAATGAACACCATCGCCCACAAAAGTGTTATGTGACAGAAATATAGGTCACTCGTTCAAGGGTGATGAGAGAGAGAGAGAGCATGAGGGGGAGAGAGAGATACTCGAATTGTCATTGCTGACCTGAATTCTTTCACAATCTGCACTGGAAAATTATTGGAAATAATTTGTTAAAAGCTTTGTTAAAAATTTTTAAAAGTTGTTAAAGTTGTTAAAACCTTTCCTGTATATTTGTCTGTGCACTTCTTTTAAAATATATGTTTAATAATGTTGTTATTGAAAGTTCAGTAAGTCCATGTAGTAAATGTATACCCTACCAATATGTGTAATGTTCAAAACAATACTTTTTAACAAAATTCAAATACATTTCTCATTCTCTTGGGTCTTTAAAAATGAACTATGTGTGTGTATATGTTTATTTCTGTCTCCAGATGCAATATTGCATTAGGTTGCATTAACCAAAGGATAAAAAATTCAAGACATGCCAACTCCCCACCCCCATGCTTCAGTGGTGGGATTCAAATTTTTTTTACTATTGGTTCTGTGGGCGTGGCAGGGGAAGGATACTGTAAAATCTCCAGTCAGAGGTGGTATTTGCCGGTTCTCTGAACCAGTGATCCCCAACCTTTTTTACGCCGCAGCCCGGTACCGGCATCAGCTGGGCGCCGCCATCTTTTTTTGATGAAAACGTGCTTCCGGTGAGCTTTCTACCCAGAAAAGCTCACCGGAAGCGCTGGTGCCGCCATCTTTTTTTGATGAAAACGTGCTTCCGGTGAGCTTTCTACCCGGAAAAGCTCACCGGAAGCACTTTTTCATCAAAAAAAGATGGCGGCGCCCAGCAAGCCAGCGGCCCGGTAGTTGTTCCGTGGACCAGTACCGGTCCGCGGACCAGTGGTTGGGGACCCCTGCTCTGAACTACTCAAAATTTCCACTACCGGTTCTCCAGAACTGGTCAGAACCTGCTGAACACCACCTCTGCCATGCTCTATTATAGTTCCTAGTATCCTTATCACACACCATATTGCTTGGCACATATCTTGACTGTCTAAATCCAAACAGCAAGTTTTAAAATGCAGAGTTTCAGTTAGCCATCGAACTCCTGGAATATACAGTTCCATTCTGCTTTGTCTCTGCTTTTCTGTTGCTGCCCTAGAAAGTTATATTCATGAAAAAAATGACATCCATCCATATTGGGCATTGATGATTCTTTTTTTATGATGTATGGCCCATTCTTAGAAAATGAGCATATCATTAGCTTTAAAATGTTTACTTTATATACAGAAATGGAAGGTCACCTCGATCCCCACAATGGATGAATTGCTGCTAAAACTGATGGAATTAGCAGAGATGGCTCAATTGACTGTTTTGATTAAAGAAAAAAACACAAATACCTTCTACTTTGCTTGAGGTGGAAAGAAAATGAAACTTTGATTTTGGGTTTTACCGATTAGGTAGATTTGTTGTTATAAAAATGGCTAGATTATATTATTATGAAAAAGTAAAACGTTGAGGGTAGATGTTAATGTCTTATTTTACTGCACCAAAGGAGTCAAAAGTCAATGCCTTTTTTTTCTTTTCCCCTTGCTTTCCCCCACTATCCACTTCCCTTTTTCCTTCCCTAATTTCCCTAATATGTACTTTTGTATTCTCTTTGTATGTCACATCCCCTTAGCAGAACCATATGATTGTTTACCTTGAGCTTCCCAGATGTGTTCCTCCTGGCCTCAATCCAGCTGTTTGTATCTGAGCCAGAAGTGAGGAACAAGATTCCTTTTGGCCCTCAATTATTAAGCAAGCAACTTTCTCCATAAGTCTAATGCCATTTTTGTTACTTTCATACCCTCAAAATTGTGGCTGTTGTTTTCCGAAACATTTATATAGGGATGTGCAATACATGGTTGCATGTGCCCATCAGAACCATTTTTGTGGGACCCAGGTCACATACGTTCCTAAAATGTGAAAGCAAAATTTTGATGGAAGGCTTAGCATACACATTCTGAGTAACTTTCCCTCCAACCTTACACAAAAGATTGACCTTCTCTCTATACCAGAGTTGATTTCCATAGCCAAAATATAACAAATCCAGTCCCAAATAGGAGAAAAATTGGTTGCTTTTTTTTTTCACTTACACCAGTCTCTTAAGACAACTGGGCGTTCTCTCACCCTCTCCCTAGTATGTGTGCATTGGTATGTGTGTGTATCTTCCCTTTTGATGGGACAAATCTTGCTTTGGAGTGTCTGTCCTGGTACTTCTAGACAAGGAGTGTAAAACTGGGGGTCCACGGGCCAGAAGCATCATGTGTAGGCCATACCCACTTCAGCTCTGCGAAGGAAAAAAAAGTCACAAACATCATGTGACGGCAATGTGACACCGTGAGTTTGACACCCATGGTCTGGACCATTTTCTACAGTTTCAGTAACATTATTCAATACTTAGCCTGAGAAAATACAATTAAGAATGTCTCATATGCTCCAGAGACATAAACAGCAGACCTTGCAATGCTTCTATATTTTAATAGCTGCACAAGATGAGGATATTTGATCGTAAAACATGCTTACCCTGCAATTATTAATTGTGTTGGTGCTTGAGGGGAGTGATGAACAATGCTGGTAAAATAGCCCCCTAAATGTTCCAAAAATGCTGCTTACTTCGTTAATTTTTGAGTTTATATATGTTTGAATTGCACTTTTTTTAAACAACTGAGTTGAGAATCCTCATATTCAATTCTGCAATCAAATTTATGGTCTCACTCTTTTTTCTTCCTAATTTTGTTGTTTGGAACATTTTTAAAACTTCAGACAAAGCATGAATGAATAAAATTCTTCACAAACTTTTATTTAAATCTCTTTTTTTCATTTCTTAGATAAAATGTCCAGCTTTCCATAGCTTAGTACTCAAATATTATATAAAACGTATTCAGAAATGGACAGTGGATATTTATTCACTTGTTTAGAAAAGAGAAAGTGAAGTGCATAGCTCCAGGGCTTTTAAATGCCAAGATAATTGATTAATTTGCTTTTCTTTGGCAAGTGAAAAGTATAACAAATTTTCAATGTTTCTAATGACTGACTGGCATCACCTCCAGAGAATATTAAAGCAAAGGCTGGGTATGACCACATTTTCATGGAATTCTTACATCACAATAATTTAAATTATTGTTTGCAGTTCTAATAAAAAATTAATTGTTCCATTTTCATTTACTGAAGATATTTGAGGAGATTCTCCTGCTTTTCTACTAATGGATGCAGAACACATTCATAGTTCAATATTGGATAAAGAAGAGCAAAGATCAAACACAGGAAA